ATAATTTACAATAAAAATATTGAACTTTTAGCTATTCCAGAATATTGCAATGATGACCTGGTTACAGCCTTCATAAATCTCAACTCTCTCAGACTTCTTGTTCTCGTTGACAAAATTGATAGGTATTTCAGCCTCATTCAGAAGCTCTAGATCGTTTATGAGGATATCCGGGTAATTGTCTCCATTTAAATTATCTGACAGGAAGTAGGAACAAATTAACGTTCGGCCTATTACTCCTAAGCTGAAACGACAATTTCTTCTTCCAGTGTGGATTGCTGTCCTTGCCATCTCATCCCTTGATTGAGGTTATGAAAGATGATAATTCCTTATTTCGAAAACTTTGACTCATCGACCCACAAGATTTATTTTCAAAACCATTCTTTTTCAATGTCACTATATAGCAAAAAGCGACAGAACTGAATTCTTCGTGGAGATCTTCATTCTGGACCTGTCCGAAATACCAATATTGTCAACGAGAAGACCAATGACCTTTCAGCAAGATGTTTATCCAGAGCATTGGAGTTTAAACGTGCTAGAACATTTAAATAATTGTATCACGGAGAACTGGATCGGCAGAGACGGACCCATTCTTTAGCCACCTCGTTTGCCTGATTTAACTCTTATGGATTTTTCGTTTGAGGATGGGCCAAGGAGCTCGTCTACACACATGTGGAAATATCAACTGGAGAGGAGTTAATAAGAAGAATCCATAAGGCTTTTCAAGTTATTAAGCCAGAGATGAAAATGAAAATTACGACCACAGAAGTGAAAGCCCGCGCTTGTGTCAGAAATCGAAGTCATCAATTTGAACACGAAAAATAAATAAATGCTGTTGTATTGGTCTGTTAAAAATTAAAGACATTCGTCCAAAATTAGTTTTGTACATTCTAAGAGTTGATGAGAACCTGCCTGTGACTAAATAATACCTCAAAAGAAAGGGCAATAACCAAGCATGTTTTTAAAAAGGTTTGAACAACAAACGCTATTTATTTTTTTATGATGGCATTTCCTTAATTTTTTGTTTCTTGAACTTAAATATGTGTAAAATGTTTTTCTGATGATGAAGATCCTTGGAAATTATTTTGTTTGAGCAATCACACATTACATAAATAAAAAATAATAACATAACAACTGTTGCTATTAGAAATTAATTGAAAAAAGGTTTTTTATTGTTAAAAACCTTAGAAATTCAAATTAAAAAGTAATAGACTTCGCCTAAAAGTTTAGCTTAATATGTTCTAAATGGTTTAAGGTATAACCCCTGCAGGCTTTGCATCCATTTTCCAAACACCTTTTATAAAAGATTATTTTTAGTAATAATGAGTGTGCGTAATTTGTAAAACTCGTTACCAAAAGGAAAGTGGGATAACATTAATATATTATGTACTTATAAATTTCTTACTAATCTTAATATCGTAATTACCAACATATTTCGCTTTATATTACTGACTACTGAGTTTTGATAAACAATAAATCCAATAGGGTTGGAGAGTTCCTTGTCTATAATAACTATCAATATTCTTTTCTATCCATATCTGTTAACAAAAAATGTCGCCGAAAACAGATAATTAGGGATAATTGGGGAAAGGGAATAGGGATAAAGGGGAAATTGGTAATTTTGACAGCCCACGCCTTTGATGTTTCGCATTTTTTTAGATAAACTCTCATACAGATATTGTTGTACTTCATGGATGGGTACCTCAGTCTTACATCACTATGTAAGTTTACTTACTATAGTGATGTACCATAGACTTGTATTGGCATTGGCTCTTTATAGGCAAAATATGTTCTATTAACGGTACTGATTACGTGTCAGCAAGTAGATGGTGTTGCGATGGTGGGCTCTCCTGTATCTCCCATTGCCACCGATATTGTCATGGAAGACTTTGAGGAGAAGGCCCTCCTTACTGCACCTGTTACTCAAAGGTTCTACAAGCGATACGTTGACGATAGTTTCACAATTTTACCATCAGATAAAGTAACTGCATTTTTAGTATATCTTAATTCCATAAACTTCAAAATTCAATTTGCTATGGAGTTAAAGGCAAATAATTTCTTAGCTTTCCTAGATGTGTTTGTCATCCGAAATCCTAACAATACGAGTATAGAAAAAAGACCCATACAAACCGATATTTAAACGTTGAATCTCACCGCCATCGTCACAGTTAGCTACCGTGTGCCAAATCTTTGTTACAGAGAGCACGAGGGATCTGTGACAGCAAACAGCTGGCCGCCGAGCTTCAGCACGTCAAGCAGGTTCTGCACGACAATAAGCTTAGGGTCCCGCGCCTATGTCACAGTGACCGAGTAAAACCGGCCACAGTCGAGCGTGTGCCTGTTGTCCTACCGTACGTCAGAGGTGTCACAGACAAAATTGGCTACGTCTTGAAGCGAGCTTTTATTAGAACATTCTACAAGCCGCAGAAGAAGATTCGTCAGTTCTTTCCATCTGTCAAGTGTCATATTCCTCTAAAAGATGCAGGAGTGTACAAGCTTGATTGTGAATGTGGTCTCTCATATATAGGGCAAACGAAAAGATAAATTAGAACCCGCGTAAAAAAATATATAACTGACGTGAAGCATCAACGTTCCGGGAAGTCTGCAGTTTGTGACCATATCCTAGATGGCCCCAACCATTACATCATATTTGATAGACCACAAATCCTCACGAAATAACATCGATCCCTGCCATGAATGATACGTGAGGCTAGTGAAATTAAAAAAAACATCCTAATTTCAATAGAGAAGGGTACTACCACCTACTTGGGACCCTGTAATTAATAAAATTAAAACTAAACCCAAGCATACCACTGCAAGACTTCAAGACACAGTAAGTTCATTCTGCTTAGATCGGACCATAAATAATTATTAAAAAGCTGAAGATACTCCGGATGGACACTGACGTATGTTAAGATCCAATAGGCAGCGGTTTATTTAAGTTATTAACAAGTTTTGTATTTATGGACCAAAATGCCCCGTGTCTGATACATAAAAATTAATAGCTGTCCATTAGTCTCGCCAAAACTCGAAAACGACTCTAACGAATTTGATGAAATTTTTTGTATGTGTTAGAGTGAGTCCCTGGATGGTATAAGGTGTGTCTACGCTAGAAATAAGGATGCAAGAGCATGAGCCCAGCACATATTCGTATAGTGTGGACCGACTTATAAGCCTCGAACAAGCGCGCTTCGACCGTTTGGCTCGTGTTCCACATTCATTTGACTGTGTTCCGTCAATTGTCGGTTTTTTGAGGAACACAAAGGGATTTGCATCGCATTAGCAGTGCGCTTGTGGACGTGTTGAGTGACAGATGTGTTCCGCCAATTGTCGGTTTTTTGAGGAACACAAAGGGATTTGTATCGCATTAGCAGTGCGCTTGTGGACGTGTTGAGTGACAGATGTGTTCCGCCAATTGTCGGTTTTTTGAGGAACACAAAGGGATTTGCATCGCATTAGCAGTGCGCTTGTGGACGTGTTGAGTGACAGATGTGTTCCGCCAATTGTCGGTTTTTTGAGGAACACAAAGGGATTTGCATCGCATTAGCAGTGCTCTTGTGGACGTGTTGAGTGACAGATGTTTCGCTCGAGCATCACGAAAACGAGGACAGAAGATGATTGTTTGCAATTAATTGAATTATATCACAAAATAATCCTTATGATATGGGACCCAAAACATGAGGACTACTATTAAAAAACAAGAAGATTGATGCATGGTCTCGTATATCCCAAGACTCGTCCATATCCGCCACGAGCCGCGAGCACACTGCAGAAAACTGTGTTCGAGGAGAGTGATTGTTGTAGGCTCGTTGTACGTCCAAACTTGACACCGCGAGGAGGGCGGCCCAGCTTGTGCTCAGCTCGTGCTCGGCTCCTATAGCGTAGACCCACCTTTCACAGTTGGACCTGGTAGGACAGGTGGCACTGTTGTAGAAATCCAGGTAAATGCGAAGCGGGCGGATCGCTAGTTTACAATATATTATGTTGTTTTAATTCCCCATAAAAGTATTCACAAAATTTGGTCATAAATTTGGAAAATAAAACATGTTCTAATTGATAAACTTTTCCCATTTTTGAAGTCTGTTAAAATAATAGATAGTTTGCATTGCAGATGAGGGCTCCGAGATTTTATTCGCAAACCAAGAAGAGAAACCATTATTAGATGAAGCCCTAGCCAGCTTCAAAGTGGATGTGACCCAACAAGCTGATTTGTCACAGTGGGACTATGAAGATGGAGCATTGCCGCCGTGTCGAAAGGTCAAGTGTCGAACAATCTTCAAGTGTTTTTAAACTACAAATGTGCAAGATCAGCTATAAAATTGTTACTATACTGTAAAAGATTGTATCATATACTTACTTATCTGGAGTTGCCCAGTAAAGAATCACTTACGATTGATAGTTGGTGGCCAAAGAGCATAGAATGGATATTGCTTAATTTGGTTTAGATTTCATTTTTTTTACCTGTTTAACAATTTCAAAGGGTCAAGGGTTTCCATGAAGTAGATATAATATTTGCAGCATTCAAAATTAGGATGAATGAATGACTTATTTCATAAGACATAATCCGCACAAGTTTCGACAGCTTTATAATATTTTCAATAAATTTGAGGCATTGTGTATTATGTAGTCATAGTTATATTTTATAATATTGTGAAATAATATTTTGGAATGCTCTGAAATTCCTAATTTTGTTTCAGATCCTTATATTTGATGGCAGTAAATTCAATAACTTAGTGAGACTCCTAAAAGAAGAGGTGGAGAATGTTTGAATATTGTCAAAACATTTTGATTACTCAACTATGTTATGCCATATGTGACAATGTTCTTGTATTTATACTTTATTATAAACTAATATAAGCAGAATTTTATTAACCCACTTTGTTTTATTGCTGATAAAAGAATAAAATCTAAAAATAAGTTCATAAAAATTTATTCTCAATAATAGGAGTTTCGAAATTACATGATTGTCAACTTAATGTCTATGTTCTTAACAAAAAAAACCTTTACAAATTTTTGTAAATTGCAAACGCATCCCTCATCATATAATCTCTCAACACACAGAGTGCCTTCACCTTCACTATTTTTGTGTTCTGATCCATTTTCTGTATGTCCGCCTCAGTGAGGTTTTTGTCATGGGCCAAGTATCCATTGACGTCATCTTCCGTCATCCATTGGGATAATTTGTGAGCGTTTAATTGTGCGGGATCGGGATTAGAAGGTATTGGTGTAAGAGATTTCTCCCACGGTGTAATATACTTTTGTTCTGAATGTAGACCGTCGATGTATCTGGAAAGGGAAAAGATTTTATTAATCTGATGACAGTAGTAGCTGTATATGGCTGCATTGTGACAGGGCCGCCGGTTTGAATGAATACCGGCACAAGCGTTTGCATGTCCTACAAATATTGTTCCGGGTCTGAATACTTGCCTATGTCAGAGTTCAAAGAGTATAACAGTTTTGAAAGGAATGTACTTGCGTAGAGCAACGACGGGGGCCTTGCGGGGCAGCGCGACCTTGTGCCAACGTACTCCACTATCATTTATTACGGTTATTATTATTAAGACTAAGTAAGTTCTTAGCGGTCAGCCGCCGTAGTCTACATGGCCTCAGGATGCGTCGTGTAGAGGCGAAATACGTGTCGTATTGTCGTATATGGTGTGACTTTTCTGGAATAGTGGTGTTGGGAGTAGTGGTGCTGGGACTAGTGGTGACGGGATTAGTGCATGCAATTGAAGGAGGGCGGGAGGTGCTCTTCAATCCAGGTAAGACACATCATTGTATTTATTTAAGCGGATGGTTGCGAATTAAATTTTAATATCTTTATTATAATGAATTTCCGCAAAGTAACGCCTGATTCTATTAATTAGGGTTTGGGAATTCCCGACAATTTTTAAGTCCCGGGACACGAGACAGTCTACTATCAAAATACCGGGAATTCCCGGGACTTCGACTTTTAAGAAAAAAATTTTTTAAGGGAAGTGAGCCTTTTTTGAAGAATTTTAATTCAGTAAATTTCTGGTGAAACGTATTGAAAAAGGCAATTTTTTGTAAAAATCAACATTTATTAATGTTATTAAGAAAAATATAATTTATCTTAATAACTTTAACGTTATTTCAGTCTTAATAATTGCATTGTTCGTTTCTTTTAATCAGACAGATTCACTTTTAAGCAGTTAAATCGTATAGTTTTAAAATGAACCTAGTTAAATATCATACTAATTCTTTATAACTTTACAATTATCTATTAATTCTAGAATCTTTCATTGGTCATTATAACAACATTGTTAATTCAGATTTTTTTTTCATAATTCAATAATCTAAATAAAAACAATAAAACAGACTTATAAATCAGATTTTCAAATAATCAACTAACACATTGATTACGTTTTCCGGTTGCTTCAAACAACTGAAACTCCTTTTGTAATTTAACTAACTATGGCGCTAAGGGCTCCTTCAATTATTTGAAAATAAAAATGATGATTACATAACATTTTCGACAATCTTGTCTCGTCTCGAGTCTCGACCCGAAAGCCCCGGAACTCGAGACAACTAAAATTACGAAAAGTCCCGGGACTTCGAGACACAAGACGTCCCGGGACCCAAACCCTACTATTGTTGTACTCCACTAAGTCTGCTGGACAATACACGCACTTGACGTGTGTTTTATTAAACTAATTTTAAGTGCCGTTTTCGAAAAATATATATTATATATATAATGGTAAATTGCTGTTATAGTTACATGAGTTACTAAGTAAAGTTGAATTCAAATGACGGCCATGCTTATGTTTCCACTCATTTTTTTCTTTTAATAAAATTGTTCATCCGAATGCGAATACGCTACGTAATTAAATTTAACAATCGTAAACTGAAAACTATTATAAAAAGGTTGTCACGAAAATATTTGGCAGTGCAACACTTGTAAATGTATTTTTTCGTGGAATTATAAAAAATGATCTTGTTCAATAAATGTTTTGAACTAAGTATGCACATAATTTCAATAAATGATGAGTATTACAATATTCAAAATTCTCAAATTTTAAAAAATTTCAAAATTGACTGCCTCGTTGGTCTAGTGGTTGTAGTAGTGCGACTGCTGATCATGAGGTCCTGGCTTCGAATCCCGGGTCGGGCCAACAAAATTAATTATTAAGTTTTTCTGTCAAGAAATTCTCAGTAGCTGCCCGGAGTCAGAAAGTTGGCGATGTCTCACCCCTGTGCCTCGGTAAGCACGTAAAGCCGTTGGTCCTGCGCCTGATCTCTCTCTGGTCGTGTCGGTTTACCGTCCCATCGGATTATGAGAGTGAGGGAATAGAGAGTGCACTTGTGCTTGCGCATACACTTGCGCACTATAATCCTGTCCTGCGCCGATGGCTAGCCTCCGTTGAGGCAGGCCGCCGTGGCCGAAATTCGGTCCGGAGGACATTATTATTCAAAATTATTCTATTCCCAATTTCGTGATAGCCCCTAGCATATTTGCGACGACGGCGTAAATAGTAAATACCCCCGCGGGCGGCGGATCGCCTAACATCAAAGGCGTTTCACAACTGTCAGTTCTTTAAACTGTGCCCTGTGCACCAAAAACGGCGCCTTAACAATATAGGAGAAAAACCTAGAGTATATAATTAATAAAACAATAATGCCTTTCTCTATATTTGTCATATTATATTATTTTTACATAACAGTAGGAAACGAGAGTGTGGTCACTGCAGCTAACTCAAAAAATTCATTCTTAGATACGTCTAGTTATACTGGCTTTCCTGTTCTTCAAACCGGTATACAACAATAGTATGTGTATTACTATTGCTTTATGAGATAAAGGTTGGCAAATATATTTTTATACTTATCATATTATTATCTTTTTGACAAAATAACATATTATTGGTTGCTGTCTTACTTGTTGTATGTTTAAAAAAATTTTACTGAAAATCCTTCAACTGATGCATTTTGACACTTGATTCACTTGATATAGACGAGCAGAGCAGAGCCAAAAAACACTTAAGCATAACTGGAATATTATATGAAAAAGACTAACAAGTTTTGATATAAGACTACTAGCGCTCGACTGCGTTACTTTTAGCACGGAATACGAATTCAATGATCTCTATGATACTTCAATCGCATATACCACGGGGACTGCTCCAGGGAATTGTTCGGATTAATTCTAGCTTCTAAACTCTACCATCGTACTCTCAAGACAAATATCGTACAAGAACTCAAAATTATATCCAAACCATCTCGATGGTTATCAGCAGCCTACCGCATTGATTTTACGAGGAAAAAAATACCCCCCTATCAGGCAATCTATGGGGAGACCTATATACAAGGTGTCTCAAAAGAAAGTTCACATTTAAATCTTTTTTTAAAAGAAAAGTCTTAGCTTTATTGAAAAAATGTTTATTTTATATTGAAGTACACTGTTTGGGAATTTATTTTTTAAAAATAACATTGTCCAAATGTAAACCGTTGCGCTCTCGGCATTCATTTAGTCGGGCACTAAAATTGCCTATGACAGCTCGGCAGGTAGTCTCCGTGATGGCTGCCATTTCATGACGGATATTTTCTTTTAATTGTGCCAGGGAAGTCGGTTTATTAGCGTAAACTTTTGATTTGACATAAGCCCACAGGAAAAAATCCATAGGCGTTAAATCGGGACTCCGTGGAGGCCAATTTATGTCACCTCGCCAGGAGATTAATTTGTTCGGAAAAATTTCTCGAACTCGAGGCAGAGATCTGTTGGACGTGTGTGAAGTTGCTCCATCCTGCTGGAACCATGTTCTTTGGTTGTAACCAGGAAAGTTTTGCAGTTGGGGTACGAAAAACTCGTCTAACATCTCCACATAACGCTCTGAATTCACTGTGAGTGTGCGTCCCCTTCCATCTTCAAAAAAGTAAGGGCCGATAATTCCTCGCGCCGACATCGCTGCCCATACGGTGACTTTGGGTGAATGTAGCGGTTTCCGATGTTTTTGTTTTGGGTTGGTTGCACTCCAGTAACGACAATTTTGCTTGTTTACATGCCCATTCAGGTGAAAATGGGCTTCATCGGAAAACAAGATGTTGGTGAACGTTGGAAAGCGCTCAATCATCTGATTTACAAAGGCAAGCCTCTGACCAGCATCTTGAGGCTTCAGTTCTTGCACTAACTGAATTTTGTACGGGTGCAGCTTTAAATCTTTGTGTAAAATGCGGCATAATGAAGATCTGTGCACATTTAAAGCAACAGCACGCTTCCGAATCGAGAGGTTTGGATCATCTCGAATAGACTGAGTAACACTGTCCACGTTTTCGGCTGTTCTTGATGTTCTTGGTCGCCCAGATTTTGGTTTCTCCAGAGTTGACCCAGTCTCTTCAAACTTCTCAACCCATTTTGCAATGAGACGAGTGCTAGGCGCATCATTTAAGTGACGAATATGTCGAATACTGCAGAATTTTCTACGCGCTACAGTCGCCGAATTACCGTTTTTGTAAAACTCACGTACGCACAACGCACGGTCCGCACCAGAGAAACGCTCCATAGCGACTAAATTCCCAAGAGCCAGACTACCGACTGACATACCCCCCCGCGCCCCTCAGAATAGTTGCTTTCGCGTAATAAGATAAGCAAATGTGAACTTACTTTTGAGACACCTTGTACTACTGGATTTAGTATCAACCCCGATATGATTATGAGCGACCTAATAAGATGTCATAGGTGCTATAGGACTCGTGACGTCCCCCTTCTCGTCCAGCACGACTCCATCTGCACTTCTGTCTTGGACAAAAACAGCAATAAGCTAGCATTTTTCAAAGTAAAATTACAATAATTAAACTTAGCAACTGTTGGAAGAACCAATTTTAGTTTTTGTGTATATACATTAGATTTTCGTATAAAAATATACTGAGAAATCAGTCAGTATATTTATTATTAATTTTTCTCTAAGTATTAGTTTTAGGTTATAAATAGCTCTTAAGCTCCTGTAATAGTGGAGACGAACTGTCCACTATTAACAGACTCCGAGTGGTTTTCTTTAAGGTGGAGAAATGAAACTACTGTTTATGTTTATGAATGTACTGTCGAATGGGATTCGGAATGGAATGTTATTTTGCATCAACCTTGCCTATATTTATATGGCTGGCTCACTATTGATTTGCCAATGGTAACAATTAATATTTTGCCTAGCCAATTATATTGCTTATTTTATGACCAATGAAAACTATTTAAAATATACAATTATCTACGTTTCGTTTCCCGGCGTGAGACTTGTTTGTTGTTCACGAAGCTACGTCGCTGGACCGGGCTATATAAG